CATTTGTGTCATAATCTTAGCACGTTTTAAAGCTGCCATCTTCGTTCTCCATTCTTTACCATTTTTATTAGATTCCGCGTCGCTGACGTTTTCTGTGGTAGCTACCGTAGAAGCAGCAGTAGTGGTGGTGGTACTTTCTATCGCGGTAGAACCAGCAACTTCTCTGTATTTAATAAGGATCCAAGTAAGTAAATCCTTATGTGCTTCTATACGAGGGCTACTTTTCAAGTCCTCCAATAATTTATAAATTTTCCATTTTGCAGCTCTCTCTGTGAATACAAGGAAAGGATAATAACCTGATTCCTGTTCTTGAAGTGCATATCCTATAAGATGAAGTACTTTATGCACTTGCGGTTCTGAAAAACTTCTAGCTACAAACGTGAGGGCACGTTCTAATACAGTTTGCATAATATGGAGCATGACATCGCATTGCAAAAGATTTGCAACCAAACTGAATACTTCTGTTAGTTTCGGGAGTTTTGGTGGTGGACAACATTCTAATTTTCCAAGTGCTTTTCTTCGTTTTCTCTGAGCTTCCTCGGATCTACTTAATTCTTCCTTTGTGTAATGATAAAAGAAAACGTTATATTCCAAATATAGATGAGGTTTCAGTTCGTAAACACCTTTACCGGCAGACGTATTTGGCGGTTTTTTAAAATCCGCTACATCGTGAATGACTCTTTCCATGCCCGTTTCGAGATGTACATCATCGGGTAAAGTTTTATTTAATTCCGAATGGGAAAGAGGCTTTATGCATAACTGCTGTATTATTTCTTTCTTCAAACGATCATCCGCAGTGACTTGTCCAACACCAGGAACGTATCTCTCTCCTATAATTGTTATAAGCAAACCAAGAAATTCCTCGACCAAATTAATCGTTTGCCTGATACTATCTTCTTCTGGATTTTTTAATGCATTCACCTCGAAATTTGGATTCGCCCAATTAAGAAGATTGCACTTGTTCAAAATATGTATAAGAAATTCATTACTCTCGATAAGAGATGCTCCAGCTTGGAGTAAAATAATATCTCTGTCTAACATCTCGCTACGACACTTCACGTTATGATAGAAATACAACTGATTCAACAATGAATATCCATTTCTTCTCCACATTCCAGCGTGAACTTGCGATATCATAGCTTGAGCCGTTAATACCGGCTCAATGATTTGCTCAGGTGTTGGTTTTGTTTGATTTATAAATTCGGGACATTGAAAATGTAAATTATGTTTTTCGAGATAAAGAAATAATCCTGCTAAAAATCTTGACAATGGAAGATGTATAGACACTGGTTCAGAAGAAACGTCGTATTGTAAGCATGTCGCGCTATGATCTGCTAGCTCTCTGACTTGACCTAGACCAGATTCAATTCCTGGTTGCTCATAGAGTTTTCTTAAGACTAATCTGAAAGCTTTAATTAAAACAATTCTATCAGAACCACACCATTCAAGAGCTAAACTAATAACTGGTGAAAGTTTAATATGCAAATTAAATGCAGATTCCCATTCAGGTTCATATTCCATATGTTGTCCAACTTGTCTTAATACCGCATCCATACATTGCATGCTGCAGAATAATTTTAATAATAATGAAATTCCTTGCAAAAATCCTCGTCTTAATTCATCAGTCCAAATATCTGGTTTTGCACTGAGTAAATATCTTAAATCATAAAGTATATATTGAGCTCTTTTAAAATATGTATTGGGAGTGTTCCTTTCAAATTCTAATTTACCCGCGGCATTGCACCTACGCGAACTTTCAGAAATAAATGTGTTCAACAAAATAAATAATACATCGTGATGAGCTATAAGATGATGAGCTAAAGTGGGAACCGTAAATAATTGTACAGACAATGAAACAATTGAAAACGAATGATCATGATCATCTCTTATGAAATCTTTCATAACAGAACCATAATTATAAGTAAATACTATAGCCAAAGCTTTTTTACTTTCATATTCCATAAGCATTCCAGATATAAATAATCTGTGCCAAGCTGTTCTAGCGGACTTCCATAACTGTGAATCTCTCATTAATATACCTTCGACGATCGATATCTCCGGTAATTTTGTATTAAGGGCAACATTGCTAAACAGTATTCTAAAGCCTTCGCATAAACTTATGAATTGTTGTAACCAATTTAACAATTTCATTGCAAAGGTCTGATGAGCAATTACATGAGCATGAACTACGAGGACCTTTAAAGCTCGATTGCTATGTCTTGATGTAAATCTTTCAATTTCAGCTTTTAATTCATTGCAATGTTGAAATCCTGAACACTTTACGACCGATCTGCCTTCTCTGTCGACATTCGTTACATATTCAACGGCATCTCTTTGAGAACACTTTAAAATACGCGTTAAGGTATTTATTACTTGTTCGAAGGTATGAGTCTCATCGTTGAAAAGAACTGTGCAATAAGTATCTGTAGTGGCTAATAAAGACAATGGATCTTCGTCGGATTCTTTAACGCATAAATCAGATGGTAATCCTGGTGTATGCTCCAATGACAATAATTCATAGCAATACTTCAATACTGCCTCAAAAGTTGCTACTGCTCTTTCTGCGATATCACCGGGTAATTTATTCCCATAAGCTTCTTTCGATTGAGTTCCCACTACGTGTATTTTGCAAAATGGTTCGTTCTTCCAAGCCTCCGTGTCACCACAATCACAGCAACCTCCACCACTTGAAGTTCCCATTTTATATTTATGATTACGATGGGCGGACTGTTTGAAACAGTCAACACATAAAACACAAGTAGAGTCCATACCACATTCTCTGCAACTGTATGTTGGTTCACCCATTTTAAATACTTTACCACATATGGACGGAGGATTATCCATTTGACTAAGTTGTTTTAATACAACTTGTGGATCATCATTGCAAATAAATTCTTCCAAAGTATTGTAAAGTATTTTTTGTGCTTTTTCTTCATCGAAACTCCAATCCAAACAATTGCCATTTGGTTCAGGACTATATATCTTTGGAACCCAAATTCTCCAATGTTCTTTAAAGTGAGTAAGTGAAAGCACACCTTTGCTCATTTTATCCATCCATACTTTCACGCATGGTTTACTCACATTGGGAAAGACAGGCAATGCTGACAATTCTATCTCTTCGATATTTTGGTCAGAATGACTTTGAATATTATCCCCGCTCATCTTGCATACTTTATGTTACCAAGAGGAAGTATACTGAAACATTAAATATTTATTATTTTATTTAGCCAAAATTAATCTTGGCAACTTTAACAATTATATAATATAACCAATGTATAGCTTCCACATACTCACTTTAAATACCAATTCTTTATCATAATAATAAACACAAGGAAGAAAATAGGGGTTATATAGGATCATGTATATTAAAACTTACCAATTAGAAATAATAATTATTCCATTATAAAATATAAATCTAACAATAATGAAGAAAATATGTTTGTCTTATATATCATTAAGATCAATGTTATGACTAATCACAATGGCGAAAGAGATAATATGAGAAAGTAGCATCCATTCTTTATCATTATAAACGTATAGACTTAAAAATTATCATTTAAAAAAAAAAAAGAAAAGAATAAAAATAAAACCTCATATCTATATATGATATACATACGTGTACATATATATATATATATATTTGTCCTATGTGTGTATATACATATATATGTATATACAGATAATCATTCAATCAATTACTACAATACCATACTCACAATTTTTTATACAAAAGCTCTATGTATATGAAATAACCAGTTGGCGAAAGGAAAGTTATCAGGAGAGGATCGATTTTTTTTTCTTTCTTTTTTTTTTTTTTTTTTTTTTTTTTTTTTTTTTGTAACACTTCTTATTTGTTCTTAGATGGAAAGTTGTTTATAAATCGGGCTATTGTATGATCGTTTTAATGTTAATGCGTTATTTGATAAAAATAAAATGAAAAGAAAAAAATGTAAATCAAATAAAAAAAAATGGAATGTTTTAGTTAAGATATTAGAAGATGTCAAACTATATCGGGATAGGCATTTACGAATAGTTCAATAGATAGATGGATAATAAGATATATGAAAGTATTTCACCATCGCATCACGGGCTTTTTCACTAAACTGAACTATTTTTAACTTCTGAAACAATACTCACTATTATGACGTCCAGGCCAAGGTTAATAAAAGCTATCGAGGAGTTCTTTGTTTCGCGAAATATTCTGAATTTTCGCGAATCCTTTGATGTTATGGCATAACAATTCTATGACTTCGTATTCACACATACGCATTTGGCGCACATCCTTCCTTAGTTATAGACGATCGCGCTTTGACATTTCACAGAAAAATGATAAGTAATATTTTTGCACAGCTGCTTGAACAACTCACAAAATGGCTTATGAACTATATGACTGAGATCACGTCTATATAAGATACGTTTTTGACTAATCTACGTACGTCATGAATAACGGACGATAAGAAGAGGAGAGTCTTCAAATAATTTCGACGATGCATTTGTAAACGAACTTTTATATTAACCCAATAGAGAGAGAGAGAGAGAGAGAGAGAGAGAGAGAGAGAGAGAAAGAGAGAATTAGGTCCAAACGTTTTGCGAAAAGGTGACGTTTTACGAACTATATATTAATTTTTCAATTAAACATATATTCAGGAAACAATGATGAATAATGTTATTTGATTACTTTGTTTTTCTTTTCTTTTTTCTTTTTCTTTTTTTTTTCTTTTTCTTTCTTTCTGTCTTTCTTTCTTTTTTTCCCCAATCAAAGATGGTTGCCTACAAAGGCGGGAGTTGTTTTTTTCTTGACCAATAGGAACGCAGAGAAATTCAAGCGATAGTTAAGATTGAAGTTTTTTTTTTTAAATCCAACCGATATTTCTTTATAATGCAATAACTGATGAGAAAAGAATGTTAATGTTAAATAATATGATAGATTTATGATCGACGGATGAAATTCTTTCAACGTTTAATCATGCAACAACTTCGATATTGCATAGATTGCGTCTGACGTTTTCCTACGATCAGTGGTCTCGTTTCACGCGTCGTGGAATGTCTTGAGCATGGACAAGAAGGTAGGGGGGGGAAAAAATGGCGAGGACGCCTCGCAGTTTCTACTGTTTGTGGTGTTACAATTTTAACAAATATTGTGTATTTTACGTAAAAATGAATTATTTCATTTAATTTTTGATTGCGATTAAGATATTATGTTAGAAATGTGATATTCGAAGCTATATTTACAACAACGAAAGAAACTTCACGCATTTTTGTATCGAATAAGGGTAGGTTCTTGATTTCGTAGTTTCCTCTTGACTTCGTATAATTTATATAGTATTATTCATTATGGAAATCTAATTTAACCTATTTCTATCATCAATTTGTGTAAGCTTTATATTCATTTAACACAAATTTTATCTCGCAATATTTAACGATATAATTAATTTGATCTTCCATTAACGTTTGTTGTTAAGTAGATATATAACCCAGATATTATTTCTTTTACTTTCAGCTGTGAAAATGTCTGATGATTACAGTAGATCCGTTTTAAGGATGGTTGTTGCCCAAATCTGCCAAACTATCGGATGGCATTCAATTAATTCGACACCATTAGAATTTATGGTAGATCTTATGGAAGAATATATTTTACGTATATCAAAATTTACACATCAATATGCAGAAGTTTGTAAGTAATTTTAAATAGAATAAATTTGTACAAAATTATAATTATAATTTTAATATCCTTTATATATGAACATATGTATTATTGATATAATTGTTTGTATTTTCATATTTTCAGTGGGAAGAATAGAACCTAATCTTGATGATTTAGGATTAGCTTTTAAACATATGAATATTGATATACAAGAATTAGCAGAATATGTTAAAAATGTAGATTCAGTTCCATGTACTATTGCTGTACCAAAATTTCCTATGAAACGTGAGAATCATTTAAATTTCCTAAAGCCAGGCAGTCGTGAAGTAGTTACTAGATCTGTACATATTCATGAACATTTACCAGCTATGTATCCTGATACAGAAGGTAATTACAATTCTTTCTTTTTTTTTTTTTTTTTTTTTTTTTTTCTTTTTTGTTGGATTATTGATAACAAAGCAAACATATTTTGAATAAAACAATTATATTGTTTCTAATTATAGAAGAATACATGACAGATAAGCCAGAAAGTTTAACAAACGGTGTACAAGATGTAGCATCTTCGAATGGAACATCAACACCGAGTTCAGTGGATGTTTCTCCTCATAGGATGTCTCCGCAAGTGGTTTTTAAACGACCAGGAGATCCTGTTTCCTTTGAAAGTCCTATAGTGAAACGTGCAAAGATATTAGAAGAAGGTAGACCATTGCGTGAGATACACAGCGTAATGATGACTACATCTGGTTTTTTATCCCCTGCTCGGGAAGGAAAACTTCCAGAAGCAAGAACACCCCATCAAACGTGCGCAGATTCCCCTCAACCAAGTTCTTATCCTATGGTTCCACCTGAGCTGAAATGTGACAAAAAACCAAAGAAGATTATAAAGAAAATACCAGAGGACCGTAAGCTTGATAAAGAAAATAAAAAGAAAAACAAGACTAAAGAATTGTTTAAACCTGATAAGATAGATGATAGTAAAATAAAAAAATTAGCCGGTATGAAGGAGTTAGCTAAATTAAAGCCATTAAAGCCAGGTGGTGGTAAATCACAAACTAACTTAGCAGGTCCTTCCAGTAGACCGTCAACTCCAAAATTGATACCATCAAAATCAACAGGTAGTCCAAAATTACCTAAAACTATTCAACTTAAAGCAAAACCAGAAAAAGTAATAGATTTAACAAGTAGTCCACCATTACCTGAAAGAAAAGAGGATAATATCGATAAACTACCATCAGAACCTGATAAGCAAAAATTAAATATTTTCAAAAAAATATCTAAACCTAGAGAGGACAAAGAGAAGGAAACGTCAGAGCAACACAAACATAAAGAACTTGATTCACGAGAAAGTTCACCCGGTTTAATCATTGATGAGAACCTTGAAAAACATGCTCATAAAAATGATACGGAGGTTAAAAAAGAAGAGAAGAAAACACCACATACACCAGACGTTCATGTTCACCCAGATAGTGACTTGATTGACATACAAAGTCCATCCTCAGATGTCTATATGTTTGATGATATGTCACCTCCTGGAACTCCTAGTACACCTAAAACTCCAGAGCTTAATGTTCCTACTCCCATTGATCAGAAAAAGAAAAAGAAGGAGAAGAGTAATAAAAAGAAAGAATCCAAAATTAGGAGCCCTAAGCGTTGTGTAAGCCCAAAAAAGGTAAGTACCATATGTGTTATTTTTATATATTTATGAAAAGAAGATTCAAAATATTATGAATGCCATTATTATATTTCAGACAAAACTTTCTAATGATGGTGTGGAAGTAGATGTAATGGATAGGCCCAAAACTCCACAAGCACCTGAACCTCCAGTGCATAGAGAACCAAATCTTCCTCCAACATTACCATTTCCATTCTTTCCAACATTTCCAGCTGCTCCTGGTCTAATACCTCATCCAATTACTCATCCAATATTTCCAAGGTTTCCATTACCTCTGGGAAGAGGTGGACCTGGTCCACATCCAGCAATGCCGAATTTGCCTTTGCCACCCCGTTTTCTTAATCCAACTATAAAACCAGAAGATTTTGCATTATCAAAAATAAAACCCGTGGAATGTGAAAAATCGCCTAGGGAAATAATACCCCCTATAATGAAATATGACGCTATAGAAAAGGAAAAAGCAGATAAAATTAAGGTGGTTAAACAAGATAAAGAGATAATTACACATACTCCTGGAAATATAATTGCACCGCCCATTGTTTCTGCACCTGCTGCACCAATCATACCTATTGCACCTGTACCTGTTGTGCCATTATTACCTTCAAAGAAATCTAAAATTGATAAAGCTGATAAGGTTGATAAGGTAACATTAATATTGATGTGTATCGAAATAATATAGAAATTATAGAATCTATTATAAAGTAAATTTTAATGAAACATTCTATTTAAGTAATATGAATTTTTAATTGCATTATTTCTATGTCATTCGAAAAATAATTTTTTCTATTTTACAAATGTATTTACAAAATTATTATGTATATATATATATATATATCATTACGAATATAATGTTTACAGAAATCAAAAGAGCATAAAAAAGAAAAGAAAGATAAATTAAAGAAAAAGAAAGATAAAAAAGAGAAACATAAAGAAAAGGGAGAGAAGGTAAAAGAGAAAAAGGATAAAGCTGATAAAAAGGAAAAAGTGGAAAAAATAAAAGAAAAGAAGGAGAAGAAGGAAAAGAGGAAAGAGAAAGAAGTAAGAAAAATGCATTTGGTATTATTAAAAGTATATAAGAATTTTTTTTTTCAAGGATTACATTATAAATTAGTGCAACGTATTAATTATCTTGTTATAACGTAAATTTTATTATACCACACAGAAAGAAGATAAAAATGCAGAAGCTGTACCAAAAATTACATTAAAGATAGGACCTGCATCTCCAAGACCACCTACACCAGACAATACATTAATGAAGAAAATGTAAGTTAAAATAATATTGAAGAACCTGTGTGTGTATATATAGTTACAACAGTATATATAATATATTTTAATCGTTTCTATAGAACAATTAAGCCATTGTTGAAAAAACCAGATGAAGATATAAAAAGAGAACCTAGTCCAGAATTGGCCAAAATATCAGCATTGGTAACACGGCCGCCGAAGCAAAAGTCAGCAAGTAAGAAAATAGAGGAGGGAACATTAGATGGCAGCCCTGCTCTTCATACAGATTCTTCTTTCTCTCTCAATTTTGCTACTGTGCCACTTGCAACAGTTCCTCGAGCCAAAAAATCTCTGTTTAAAAATCTATCCCAAAGAGATCCAACACCACCACCACACTTTGATCCTTCTCCTAAACTCCCAAGTCCTCTACTTGCGCAACAGCAACCACCACCATTTTACTATGTAAGTACATTTATTATGATATATGAATATCAGTGAAAAAAATTATGTGTTTAGTATTGGAGACATGATAATAAGAGTTTCTTTAATAATTGAATATAATAAGAAATAGATTCTCTCTAAATTATGATAAATTTTTAATGAATATACTCTTTATTTGTGCAAATATTTTTAAAAGCATTTCATAATAATATGTTTTCTTTCTCTACATAATGACATATTAATATTAATACTTTGACTAATAGTTCACTGAATATAAATTAACAATTAACTTTTTTCTTTTTTGTTTGTTTGTGGTTTTTTTTTTTTTTTTTTTTTTTTTTTTTTTTTTTTTTTTTTTTTTTTTTTTTTTTTTTTTTAATTCATAAAAAAAATTATTCTATGTCTCTGTACTAAATTAAATAATTCAAAAAAATTTTATTTACATGGAAAGATTAACCCAACCCATCAGTATTATCTCAATCTTTACTTGCCCTTTAAATTCCAATTTCCTATTCCTCTTATTCTCTTTTTCTATTTCTCTCTCTCTCTTTTTTCTTTCTTTCTCTCTCTCTCTCTCTCTCTCTCTCTCTCTCTCTCTCTCTCTCTCTCTCTCTCTCTCTCTCTCTATCTATCTTTCTCTTTTTCTCTCTATGCATTTATGACTTGTGGTGAAGGTATAATTTCTCATTTGGTCATGCTTTTGTCACACTATGACATTGTTAAAAATATAAACGTAGAATATTATAGTTTTTTTTTCTTTTTTTTTTTTTTTTTTTTTTTTTTTTTTTTTTTTTTTTTCTATAGATTCTCATGTATTTCGTATGTATGTTGCTATTTTATGTGATTTCTTTTGAAGTTTATATTTTATTTTTTTCTTTAAAAAAAAAAAGAGATCTATTTTTTAAAAGTATGTTCAAAGATAAAAAATTTTTCTATTTCTGTTTCTTTTTTCTTGTCTTCTTCTTTCTATAGTACAGTAAAAAAAAGTAGTATAATTGTATTTCACAGTTATTATTGTTTTCTGTAAATTTAATGTTAAGTGTGTCTTGTGTATAATTGATTGCAACATTATTCATCTTAACACATTTTCATTTCATAAAATCAACTATTTCTTAGCAGAATAGGCAGAATTTTAGGTAATAAGTTTAAACATTCACCTAATGGAAGGTATACAAACTATTTTGAATTATTATTCAACATTCAATATCCTCATCAATACATCATCATACATTTAATTGTATTTGTAATTTTATAGTGAATATTTGGGATCTATACTTGTCTCTTCTTCTTCTATCAGTCAAAGACAAAAAATGTATAATACGATTGTGTAATTTAAAAAAGAAAAAGAAATATCTACAGTTCCTTCGTCTTTATCGTTAAAATCTCTATCGCGTTTATATCATATTTTCAATCATAAATATGTAAGTTACTTGTTACTTGGACTAAACTAATTCCTTTTTTCTTTTAAATAGGATTTATAGTTATATTGCACCAAAAGTGTGTATGCATATATATATATATATATGTATATGTATATATATATATATAATATACACACATTTTTATAATAATTTAAATTCTTCTTATTTATAGTAATGCACTTTTATAGCCAATTATATAGGGGTGCAACTTATTTATATTTTACTCTAGCACTTTACATACCTGTTCATACCTTTTATTCTAGCTAGGGATGGTATGAGTATGTCTCTTTCAAGTTTCTAACTTAGTTAGATCATTAGTTTCTGCAAATCACACTGAATGCTTTCACACAGTATTTTATATATGGTATAGTATCTTTTGTAATACAATGTGCATGATTTTTATAACTCTCTCTTTCTTTACTGAAGAAAGGGCTGCCTTAATGCATCATATAAATAATTTGTGTTAGAGAAATTAGAACAAGTTGAAAGCTTAAAGTGTTATAAACCTTATAATTTATTATTTCACATATAATTTAAAAAAAATATATATATACATATATACAGCATGTATTACATATTTCAATACATTACAGAGACAAAGATTCATAACATAATGATAATAAATTTACGAGTAAAAACAAAATTTAATAGAATTGCTAAAAAAAAAAAAATTTCTATTTTTCTGAATATGACAAAAATATGAATTTAACTTTAATAAGATGTTTAATTAAATACATATCAGTTGTTGCATGCAGCTTGCACGATATAATGAAAACTAGCATGAAAGACAGTTAGGAATATAACCAACAGTTTTAACAACACAGAGGTGAAAGCAGATGCAGTTTCTAAAAAGGATGATGCTAAAGAAGACAAAGAAAATGGCAGTCTCTTGTTGGCTACAATAGCAACCGCGACAGTGGTGAGTACATTCACTCCCATTTTAAAGCAGCTCTTGCAATGTTTGTTATGCACTAGAAGTATGATGTGCTCGATAATTTTATATAAATAATATATCATACATTATGATACACCTATTAAAATAAGACAAGGAACACATATAATATAATAAAAATATTATTATAAAAGATATATTTATAGGTCACATAAAAATAAAAGAATTTTTCAAAAAATTTTCAATGAAGAAAAAGAAACTACATTTATATAAAAGAAATGAATATTCAATGATAATATAATTACTTTCTATTTTTTTATAATTATGATAAAGATATAAAACTTATTTGAAATTAATTGAAACCTAATTGTAAAGTAATTATATTATCTTTGATTTTTTATTCTATAATTATTAATAATTGAAAAGAAGAGACAAGTGAAAACCAGATTATATGTCATCATACATCATTTCATCCTTCATTTAAACAAACTGTTATCATATTTCAACTATTTGAACTAACAAACCTAAAAATACTTCAAAAGAACTAATATTCATAAAGATTCCTTACAGAACTTATTGTTCTATTAAAACAATTGATTATTTAGAAAGTGGAATAATAAAATAATACACAAAAAACACAACACAAATTCTACTCCATAAAAGAATGAATATAAAAATGTTTAACTCATTATAAGTGTTTGTATTCTTTTTACATTCAAAATTTTTAATTGCATCTCCAAGAGATGGGTTGGGTTATCTTATGTTTATTTCAAGTTTCGTTACTGTCATGCAATGAGTTTTACAGGATCAAGGAGGTCGTCAAGTATGGATATGTCCTGCATGTAAACAGCAGGATGATGGATCACCCATGATCGGTTGTGATGACTGTGATGCATGGTATCATTGGTAAGTAATTATATATTCACGTTTGAAAATACGTATTGTATTAATTTTTATATTTATATTTATATTTATATTCATATATAACATAAATTCACTTTTTATTGTGACAATTGTAGGGTATGTGTGGGACTACAAGTGGAACCAGCTGCAAATGAAAATTGGTATTGTAGATCTTGCATTACCAAAAAACAGGAACTATATCATGATAAGAAAAAGAAGAAAAGGAAGAAAAAAGTGAAAACAGCAGCCTAGTACAAGCTAACCGGATCTTCTGTGAGGTCCGGTATTACAGTTGCAACTAGTACCAAAGTTAAATTGAAGGAGAATAAAATGAAAGGCTTAAAAAGCAAAAAAGTGTCTAAAACAGATGTAAAAATGCAAATGAAATCTTTAAAAGGTAAACCTATTACAGCTAAAGGAAAAGGCACAAAAAGTTTAATTAAAACTAAGGCTGTTAAAAAGAAAAATAAGAAAACAAAAGATGGTGCAATCCAATTAAATTGATAATATTGAAACTAATCTTTTCCGAGGAATAGTGAATGCAATATATTTAATAGATAAATTTAATATTTTCTTAAAAATTTCATTTTCATAACTTTATAGGTACTTGACTTTTCTTACAGCAGGTTTATTTTACAGCAAAGAAATTGGAATTGAATCATCAAATCATTATAATATAGAATAGTTTCTGCACGAATATAGTACTTGTTTTAAAATACCTAAATATTCGTTTAAATTCTATAAATTTATGATAATTATGTAGCATGTAATATATTTTATGTTTTATGTATCTTTAACATGTTCACATAATAGGAAAGAAATCTTTGCAAAATAATGTATTAGATACTGTTACTTCTTATTTATATGGATTTTGTTAATGCATTGAACAAGAGAAGAGCGTGCAAAGGTATACATAAAAACAAAATGAAAAACGTAGAGAACTTATTTTATATTAGCTTTTTGTTTATAATCTATATGCAAGCAAATATATTTCAAAATGTATCAAATATTTTGTACAAAGTTCGAAGAGGTCTCATGATACCACGATTGTTTATATAGACACTTACAAGAAATGGGATTATATTCCATTTCAGACTGGTTAAATAATATAGGATGTAACATAAAATTTGAACATGTGTAAAATAAAAAAGAAAAACCGAAGCGCGCGTAGGAAAAATTGTTAAATAAATAGAGTGTACCAGTGGAATAAAAGCTGGTTGAAGAAGTTATAATATAAATATAAGAATCATAATATGTGAAATGTTTAAATATTCTAGCTAATTCTATAATCTATGAGAGATAATGAAAGAGATAACATATGAAGCAAGTTATGAAATTGTTCGATATATAGTAACATATATATATATATATATATAAACATTTCACATATTTTGAAAAGAAATTGATATCATTACTGATGAGGTATTTAAATGAATATCCTAAAGTTACTGAGAGTTCATACAAAACAAAATAGAGTATATGTTGGTATTTATTTGTAATTTTATATGACTGAGAAGATAAATAACAAAGGTATCTAATTCCTTTTACTTTATTACATTACAATAATGATATACAACCTTTGTCAAATCCATTAATTTATATATAAAAAAAAAAAAAAAAAAAGACATTGCATTTCATATGCAATGCAATTTTACTCAGTCAACTTTTATAATATTAAATCTAACAAGAAGAAATAATAGGATATTGATAAAAGGGAGATAATTATGCTAATGTGTATATATGCAAATAAATAAGATTTACAAAAAATGAGCTCAATGCAAAATGTAATTACCTCTTAAACATTTATTTATTGCTTATATTCATTTTTTTCTTTTTTCTTTTTTTCTTTTTTCTTTTCTTTTCTTCTTTAATATAAGAAATAATATATAATGTATACTATATGGATTTTTAGCAAAATAATCTGATCATATATAAGTTTGTGATAATTATTTATCTATTTACATAGCAAATATTGTATCTTATATATGAAAATTGAACTTATATTGAATTAATCTTTTTTTGACAAAAAATTCGAAGACTTGTGTGAATTAATATTATCTTTGGTGAAACATAAAAATACCTTTAATCGTACTTTTCATGGTTCAAGCTTTAAAAAACATAGTAAGCGCTTTTTTGAAATTTACATTATTATAAGTATGTACATCCTTTGTAAAATCATAAATTTCTGTGTGTTCAAAATATCATTGTACATTTATGTATTAAATTGTGTAAAACAACAATTTATAATATACAATCAATTTAAATTGTTACTGGAAAACACACAAGTAATATAAAGACATTTATTTTGTAATATACAACTGAGATGTGTAATAATTCAAGTTAAAAATATTCTAAATATACAAACAGTAACATAATTACTACTTGCTAAGAAAAGTGTACACCTTGTTCATTGAACATTGTTACATAATGGCACATATGTATTTTGTACATTATTCATTTTTGAAAATGACAGAATAATATAAAATAAACATCTTAATGATGGGCTGCCAATATAAAACAGGTATTCCTTCCTTTTTTTTTTACTATGTAAAAATAATTGTACAATAGCGCAATCGGCTATATTCACTCATTTTCTGTGATTAAATAAAAATAATTTCATTAAATATAGAATTTAATCACAATACAATAAGATATCTAAATAAATACAATGTGTCATTGCTGGAAGAAATATAATAAATAATTATATAGATTTGTGCATTAGTAATATACAGGATCTCTCTAACATAGATTCGAAAACTCTATGAGTATGTCATTTTTAAAACATATCTCAAAAACATGATTTTTATATTTATTTAATATAATCAAAATGAAAAGAAAAAAAAATCAGATTGTTAACTAAAGAAAAAAATATGTTAACAGAAAGGTATTGTCTTAACACATATCTATTTTGCTCTTTGTAGGGGGTGCATTTAATCCACCTATGTCACCTGATTCAAGTTGTTTCAAAAGACGAAATAATGCTGCTGCTTCTCTAATACGGCTAAATTCAATACAAAATGCTTGCACCTCAATAAATAACTCTTGAACATTAATGATTTTATTCCTAATCAAAGATTGAAGAAATACACAAACTAGACGTACAAGTCGATTCTGCATATAACGATCCTTTATAGTTTCACAGGTAGATATACAATTGCTAATGTATAAATGAACAAATTCAGTTGGCAAGTCCACAGTGGTAGTCAACCTATTTACAACTTCCATCGAATGAAGGGACATTTCCATATTTACCAAAACACTAAAATATTCTGTTATTTGGCTAGATTGCATAAGTTTTAATAAAACTTCAATAGCAATTAATGGATTATTTTCTACTAAATCTGGCAATTTTCCAGGTGTAAGACCTATATGATAAACCAGTTTTGGATCCCTATCTAATTCATTAACTAAATGCTGTTGTTGTTGAAGTGTCAAAACACTTTTAAAAGCTTTACCCATTAGTCTACGTGCTTCAGCTCCAGCACAATTGGAAACACACATACTATTATCATATTCCACAGTAAATTCAGAAGGATCTGTGACATTAAACCATGCTAATTCATTGATAGAATGATATAAAGGTGGAGCCAATCTTAAAAATTCAGGACTATAACTTTGAGCACATAATGGTGGATCTCCGACAATAAGATTTTCTGCAACGTTTCTCAATATCTTTTTATCGGATCCTGTTATCTTAGAGTGATCCATATCTGGTAATATAATTGGATTGCCGCATTTACTTATGGAAGGAAGTTCAGAATGATATTCGGCAAGTTGCAACTGCAAATTGGTTAAGTCTATTGGAGGTGTTGATGCAAAATAGAGATCATCTACGATTAATTGGCGCGGTGTTTTCTTCATTACTTCCTTTTGATTATATCCTAACAAATTAATAAGTAAGTTTTTCTCACATTCAGAAAGTACAGGAATATGTCCTGAGAAATTAGTTATCGAAACACCATTAGTTGTATCCTCTTGTGGTTTTAACACTTGAACAAAAACTGTTGCAAATGGTGTAGAAGCTAATGGTTCTCCTCTGTACAAATCAAACAACATTGTTAAGGCCATTATTCGTTGACCATGTTTTGGTAACAAATCAATATGTTGCAGTAACAGAAGTAACGTCATTCCAACTTTAAAGCGATCTTCCTTGGAGAATACTTGATGAAGCTGATTGCAAAGATTTTCCAAGTTAGTGTCCATATTTTCCTCATCAAGAATATCTAATAGTTTGGTTAGGTCCTTTGGTGCCAGTGTCATCGTGAAAGTTTTTACACGTTAATTACAACGAAATAATGATCAATTTTCTTCAATAATATACATTTGACCAGTCATATTATAATGCAAATAATATTTTAAAAAATCTTGAATATACATTTAATTATTTATATTTAAATTTTCGTATAATTTATAAAAATAAACTTGATCTCTCCATCTTTAAAACGCACCTTTCCGATTAAAGTTTGAACACAGATGTTCTCATGGAAATAGCTTTGTGAATTTCTCCTCTAATCAGGTGATTGAAAAGAACGATGCCCAATATTAAAATTCATTATAAAAGATGGAAGAAAAATCAAAGCATAAAAAAGTAAATATCATCGTTCGAAACTTTTTTAAACGTGTTTTTTATCAATGAGAAAAAGATCGTACATATGTTGATAAAATAGTTGGAAGACTTTAAGTTAATAACCGTTTGGTGGCAGTTCGATCATTATTCATAGATACTATAAATCTATAACTCTTTTCTCGTCTTCCATTTTGTTAAGTTCGTGGAGCTGACAGTTCATTCTGAAAGCGGGGATCGAAGGATCGCCCGCTGAGGAACGTTTTTGAAAATACTTTGAGAGAGTCTAAGACTCGGGATGGGTGACTCCTTGGACGGCTCCGGGGAACCGTCCCCGGAGTCTCAAAATATCGCGATCGTTGATTATCATGCGTTCACTAATTATCTTTGTAGAGCGGTTAAAGTTCTATCTCCTGACGAAGACGTGGTGCCACCCGCTTTTAACTTGGCACTTGACGATAAGAATAATCAGGAATCCATAAGAAAGTTTATCGGAGACTCACAGATCTGGGCACTTTTTATTCAAAGGGCCTCGAGTAAAGGTAAACTCGAACATTGAATTTTACACCTACGTACATTCACATATATGCAACATATATATATATATATATATATATATATATATATATATATATATGATATGTATATGCATATACATATCTTTTCTAGGCTTTACATATATAAATATATGTATACGCATAAGTATTGCTATGTGCATACCATTGCGTATACGTATACGTATACACACACACATATATGTTAATATAGTATAGAATCATTTCTTGAGGATGCCTTTTGTCCTTGTTACACGCGTTATCCTCCATTGTGTTGCACTATTAAATGCAACGGTACATTTAGCCGTCGAAAGAAAATGCTCATTAAAAATCAATGCATTGCTTGAAACGACATCCGTCGTTGACCAAAGTGATTTCATATATCTCTTTCTAAATTATGAGTCATACGCCGGTGAGAATCGATACACGCGCACATCGACAATCTTCTACCAATCCTTTTCATCTCTCTCTCCTTCTCTCTCTCTCTCTCTCTCTCTGTCCTTTTCTTTGATCGTATTGTCCGCTCTCTTCCTCTCCCTCTCTCTCTCTCTTTCTTTTTTCTTAGCGATCATTCTTAAAAAAAACTGCACATATATAAAATGTCGTTTTAATGTCGTATGTTAATGGTATAATCTGTAGAAAATTTTCGAGAATTTTCATGCTCGAGTCCTTTACTTTCTTTTTCCATTTTTATTTTGATCGATCATTGGATATGAAGATTGCCGGCTAAAGGCAGCCATCTTTTTTTTTTATGAATTATTTATTCGAAGAGTCCTTGACGTTATTATATTTTTTTATTGTACGTCAAATACTGACTTTCAAGAATTATCTACTTGTTTAGGTCTGTTTTTCTTTACTATTTCATTCAAAAGACATAAAAAAACTTTGCAAAATTTTATTATATAAAAAATATATTTTGTAGGAATTAAAAAAGCAAATA